TGTGAATTTAAAATGATAAATATCATTTTAATTAATAACAATTACTCAAATATTAATCATAAAGATTTATTTGATTCAAAATAAAAATATAAAAATTTAATTAAATATAATAAAATAATAAAAACTTAGTTAAATTTTTTAAATAATTTAAAATTTTATTTAAATATTATGTCAATAACAATTCTCTTTCAAGACAATTTTCCTAAAAGCTCTGTTGTCTTCAAGTTAATGGGATAGAAAATATTATTATATTAATAAAAATATTTTTTATTAAATTTTATTATTAATTATTATTTAAAGAATATTTTTAATGTTTTAATAATAAATTTTTTTTAAATGATCGAATCAATTAAAATTTTAGTACTGTCAATTGAACTCACAGTCACTAATGGCAAGTTATTTACTTGAGATATGGCATTTTTGTAATTTTCATTTTTAATTTAGGTAACATAATTAAAAAAAAAAAAAATTAGTGTAATCAAAGAACCTAATAGGAAAGCAATTCTTTAAGTGGGTTCTATGCTTGACATTTGGCACGTGGGATAAGTAACATTTGGCTATTTATTATTTATTATTGTGAACTTTGGCTACTTAATTAGATGGGAGAAAGGAGTTTGGGATGTTGGCCGTTTTCATTGGTTGCGGCTTATTTCACATAAGAGTGATGAATTTAAAATTAATTAAAAAATAATTATAAAAATTATAAATTTATATATTTTAAATTTTATATATATAATAAAAAATAAAAAATTAACAGTGATTCTATCACTATTTTTGATCTGTTCTTAATTTTGGATATATATAATTTTTTGAATTGAATTGAATATAATTTCTATAATTTCAAAATCTTTTTAGTTTAGGCAAATTACAATTTTAATTTAGAATATTATTATTTATTAATAATTATAATAATTTAAATAAATTAACTCGATACAAAGTGAGGGCTGCACGCTAATATTGATAAAATTAAAGTTATTCTCAAAATGTTATTACTTTCTCCTTTTCATTTTCTTTGCTACTTTTTTATGACTCAAAACTATTTTTTTTTTAATTTTTGAGCATCTACATTCTTATTTTTCTATATCTTATATTTTAAAATATTTTTTTATTTTTTGACTTTAAAAATTGTTAAACATCTAGAGAAATTCATAATCATAAAACCAGTATTAAATTAATTTTCATTTCTAGTCAACAAGTTCACATGCTTCCATTCCATTAAGAAGAATACAGTACTTTGAACTAATTACAAAGACACTTAACAACTTTCCATGTAAGAAATGAGGTGAAGTTCGAGTGGATGTCCTAATTTCAAGTCATAATATTCTCATACATAATATACTTGAAAAAAAAAGTCAATATAATTGTTTAAAAATCTTAAAAGAATTAAATTATCTT